GTCTACTCTGGAGAGCAAGTTTTAGAGTTTCTTCTGACATCCATTTTGGTGTTTTCTTTCTTTCTTGTCTTCTTAATGACCTATTGTTTCCTTCCTGTATGATGTTCTAGTTGTTATCTTACAACCCTTTTGTCACTAGTGTCTATTGAGCATCAAATCTGATGTTGAGATGATCTAAATTCAGTTAGAGTAGGTTCAAGGTCAAATCTTGGCTCTAGCGGATATGTTTTAATTGTCTTTAGCTTCAGTCTGCACTTGCATATGAGCTATTGATGGTCTGTTTCACAGTCTGCCCATGGTCTTTGTTTTGATCATGGCCTGCTTTACTTTGAGGAGACATCTCTTTCCAGTTATATTTTGAGTGATTTCTAACCTGAGGGGCTTCTCTTTCAGTACTTTATCTGACAATATTCTGGTACTGTTCATCATGTTTCAGTATTCAATATTTTGGTCCTTTCTGTCAGTGTTCCATTGTTTTTCAGTAGCTAAGCATCCAGAAATAGTCTGCCTCTCTTTCTTCCTAATGTGTATTAGTCTGGAAGGTCAGCTGAAACCTGTCCAGCATGGTATACCCTGTTGGTATTTGAAATAATGATGGCAAAGCCTCAAGCATCACAGCAACATGCAAGCTACCCCAGTATGGCAAACTGACAGATGAATATAATTAGTAGTGTGTGTAGAGTTGTGCATTATAAATGAAAAGTGATTTTTAAGACAGTTAAGGATAGTGGGTCACAAGAATCAGCTAGCTGCACAATCTACGAATTGAGTCCTAGCGTAAACACAAAGCATCTAGAAGTACTGATTCAAAAAAGAGTAAATTCAAATGTAAATTAAATTTTAATGATCTAATGGGCAAAATCACACAGGGAATCTAGAAAAGACATCATTTTTCTGTGGACAAAATAAGCATTGAGACTAAAAAACAGAGGAGATCTGGACTGGAGAAATACAGGAATGAGGTCTGGAAGCATTTTCTTTTGGTTAGGATAGAGGGAAGAATTTCTGGAGTGCTTTCAAAGAAAATTGAGCTTGGCTATTGAGTTATACAAAACCACACAAATATTCATCTGTCAGTTTGTTATACTATGGTAGTTTGCATGGTGCTATGATGCTGGAAGCTATGCTATCATTATTTCAAAAGCTCACCCATGGTGGACAGGTTTCAGTGGAGCTTCCAGATTAAGATGAACTAGGTACACAGGTCTGGTGATCTGCTTCTGAAAATTATTGAATGAAAGCCCTATGAATGACAGCAGAACATTGTCATAGTGCTGGAAGATGACCCCCATAGATTGGAAGGCATTCAAAATACACAGTGACTGCAGCAATGGACTTCAGTATATCAATAATTATGAGGATAGTGTAGGACGAGACAATATTTTCTTCTGTATGGGGTTGCCATGCGTTTGAGTTGATTTGATGGCAACTAACAACAACTTCAATTTCTAGGTTATTATACTGGTAAATAAGGAGCTCTGGTAGCGTAGTGGTTACGAATCGGGCTGCGAACCTTAAGGTCAGCGGTTCGAAACTACCAGCCGCTCCGCGGGAGAAAGATGAGGCTTTCTACTCCCGTAAAGATTTACACCCTCGGAAACCCTGTACAGTGTCGCTATGGGTCGGAACCGACTCAACGGCACTTAACAACAACAACAACAACATACTGGTAAATAAGACTCTCAACTAGCCATTATTGCTGTCGTTGTTAAGTGCTGACTAACAATGACCCTATATAGGGTTTTCATGGAGCAGCTGGTAAATGTGAATCACCGACTTTGTGGTTAGAAGCCCAATGCTTATCCTATAGTGCTATTACCTGCTGGTAAACAAGGACTCTCGACTTGAAGAACTCTTCATGGAATGGCTAGTTAAGACTCCTTGCTTACCAACAGGTAACAGCAATAATGATACAAAAATGCAAGGTCACATTTTGTTCTTGACCCAGAAATTGATCCCCTTTTACTGCTGGTGATAGCAGCTAAAAGAAACATATTTGCTAGCATAGCAGCAGTGTCACATGAAGTTCCATTTAGTTTGCTTTGGTGGTTTTAAAAAATAACCAACCAACAAAAAAGAAGAGCAGTGTTAGGTCCCCATGCTTGTAGCACTAGAATCCCCTTTTCTTGTAGAGAAGCCATGATATGGTATCCAGGTGAAACTGACATTTACTCCAGCCCAGTAGGGTTTTTAGCAATTAGAGTAGCCAACCTTCTGGCTGCTGTGACTGGCTTAAGAATGAATCTAATATCCAAATCAGGACAATACTGCCTATGGTTTTCATTTTTAAACAGAAAAAAACCGTCAATGACATTGTTTTCCCAGTCACTTTTGTTTCTGCTTTGAACACAGAGAATGAAGAAAGGATCTTGACACGGTTTAAATTCCTGGATCCATCCATGCCTGAAGTCATTATCCCTGACTTTGCCAATCATGCCAAAACCAGATTGAATAGCTTTGGTCAGTTATGATAAAAAATGTAATGACTAAAAAAGGTTGAGTGTTCTTATGAGCCACAGAAATGAAATGAGACAGTGTTTATTTGCAATTCTATTAGATCCGTTTTGGAAGAAGTGCAGCCATAGTGCTCCTTGGAGGCCAAGATAGCCTCATACTTCGTCTCTCAAATTTTGGACATATTGTCAGGAGGAACTAGTCACTGCAGAAGGATATCATATTTGGTAAGGTGGAGGGTCA